TCTCTCTCTCTCTCTCTCTCTCTCTCTTTCTCTGTCTTAATATTATTTTTAATAATCTTTTAAGAACGAAACATATCTGAAATACATAATATATTAGCTCAAAATATATTAAATAAAATAAATGTAATATGAAGAGCTACGAGCCAAATCAATTCAAATTTAATGTAATAAACTAACAAATAATACAAAAATAATAGAAAATATAAACAGACATTTCAATCTCCTTTGGGTCATTATCAATGTTAAAAACGTTTACTAATTAAAGTTAGAATATAACAGTAATGGCAAAAGATTAAGAATAAATACATTAAAAAATATATAATTATATAGACTTCAAATAAGATGTAATCCATAAGAATGATTCGATGTAAAAACCTCGCACGTAACATTTCATTGTCAATCACACTTTCTGAATTAGAAATAGTATTGCAGTATAAAATTTGATGACATGATATGGTAATGTCAATAAAAGTTCGTAGCAGTCAATAATTTTATATGTAGTCAATAAAATAATAGAAAAATCTGTTAATATACAGAAACATATTAAGTAAAATGAAGAAAGTTAGGTTATGGAATTTAAAATATAAAGTATAAAAAAGAGAAATGTGTACATAATAAATATAAAATTTACCTTTATAAGCGAAAATGAGTTATGTAGAGTTATGGTATATAATAAAATAAGTTAAGTAAGTCAAGTCAATATGTAAAATAGAGATTGGTGTGTAAGCAATTGCGATAGAGATGATCGTTACTGTCTAAAACACAATTATAAAATGAGAGTCATCTGAGAGTTAAATTAAAAGAGAGAAATATCGGTATGGAAAGAATAAAATTAAGAGTAGGAAAAAAGGAAAAAGAAACTAGTAAGGGGAAAAAGATTGTATAAAATATAAAAATAAAATTCCGGTAATGATTCCGTGTCATTTTGCCTCTGTTTCTGTCTTTTAATGAACCATTTTTTAAATTAGTCATTTGTTATAGGATGGTTCACTATTTAAAATTTTGACGCTATTCCAATCAAAATCATGATTAAAATTAATCGATGGTCAGAAATAACGGAAGGAAATAATATTTTTTTATTTATGTCTGACGTTTATTTAATTTAGTTTTTAATTTTCTTTTGGTCTAAACAACATAACTTGCCTCATAATTCTCACAAGAGATTTTATACACAACTTCTTGGTGGAAGTATAAGTCGAGATGGTATTTACCCTTTTTATGTATTTTTTAAGGTGTTAGAAATGGAATAAGATAATTTGCAACCAAGTTTGGGAGCTATAAGCAAAACATTTTTCAGAAACAGACTTAACATATGGTACAGTAAAATATTTATCTTGGACTTTGTCTTTCTTGTGTGAATGAAAATTATTATCTGTTTTATTTTTATTGTGAATATGGTAATTAATTCTTTTTTGTATGGTAGAAAAAATTAAGTTAAGAGGATAACCATTATCTAAAAAATATGAATAGCATCAATAAAATTCCTTTGTTGAAATTTAGGGTGAGATAATAATACAACTGTATCATAAATAACTCTTCTTTTATGACACAAAGGATGGGAATGAAAATTCAAAAATTTACTTGAAAAGGTTGCTTTTTGATACCTATCAAAAATAATTTTATTTTCATCGATACAGACAATAACAGCAATATCAAAAAACTTCAATCTCTCATTATTCCTAAAAAATTCTGTAGTAAACTTTAGTCTTGTATGTGACGAATTAAAAGTGTCAAGAATGTCATTCAAAGTATCAGAAGAGGCTGCTAATATAATGTCATCTACATATCTAAAGTAGAAAGAAAATTGTGTAGATAATCAATAACTGATGATTCTAGATCTTGTAAAATTATTTCAGCTATAATAGGGGATACTGGAGATCTCATGGGGATCGAAACATATCTCTTGCTTTTTTTAATTATCCTGCAAGTTTAAAGTTTGAAGTATCATTCGTTTTAAAATTATTTCAAATGTAGTTAAAATTAGATCACAAAGCGATTAGTTGATGTCGTGTAAAAATGCGATTTCTACGACAGCAACATTTCTGTAGGAATTCTGTCTTGAAAACGCCATCTTCTTCTTCCTCTTCCTTTTCCCTTTCTCTCTCTCTCTCTCTTTCTCTCTTCACTACGGCAAATTAAGCTTCCCAAAACACCGCGAAACTGTTAATTAAGACTCATTATGCACGCTGCGGGGGATGGTTATCCGGGATAGAAGGAAGGTGGCCGTAGCGGAGGATGAAGACCACGAAGAAACCGGAGAGAGGAAAGGGAACAGGGAGGCGAAGGAGGTTTAGGCGGGGGTGATTTAACCTGAGTACGAACTTCTTAATACCACAGCTGCAGTTGGGTTCATTGTGGGATCAATACGGGGAGAGCTCGTGGTAGTGGCAGGCCAAGTGCGATTGGCCCTGACGATCGAGCACGGTGATTGGCCGATGTCGGTACTGCCAGGAGGCGGATCCTGCCGTCGCGGTCCCCAACGTGTTGGGGTGATGGTAAAGGGGAAAGAGAATACCAACGTCAGCTCCGCTCGAAAACGACGGGACGGCTCTAGAAAAAGACAGCGACAGGTTCTATGGAGAGAGGGTGACACACGGTGTCGCGTATGGGGGGTTTCAGTTTGTGTTCACCCATCAGAGACACACCACCATCGGCGATACGCTCCGTTCACGTTGCAAGGGTGAGGACTTGCTTTTCGTTCTCCACTGGTCATTCTCTTGTTCTTCAAGAGAATCATCTGACTTTTGCGTTAAATCTGAAGAACGTGTCGCGATCGAACGAGCGTGATCTTACTATTAAAGACGGTGTTATCGAGAGTTTTTGGAAAAATAGATAATTGTGAGGCAAGTAGTGAGTGTCGTTTTAAATTTCGCAATTATCCATACGTATGACATATGAAATGACGAGGACGGTGACAGTAGCTACTAGTTAGTGAAGTGTCGATGAAGTTTTAATAGAAGAAAGTAGTTAAATAGTTTGATCAAAACAGTAATTTCGTCAACAAACTATAAATTGTGAACAATTGAAATTTGTTGAGGGGAAAAAAGAAAATGTTGCGAAGGCTAATTACTGGAAGAAAGCTTACAAAAGAAAATTTTGAAAAGTGAGGTAATAGAAGAGGAAGTGTCATACAAGAATTTTTCAGATATTTTTATATGTCTTGCTCAGTTTTGTGAAAATTTTAATTGAAGATATGTTCAATAATTTGACATATCCCCAGCTAATGTCTACTTAAATCTTTTTGCATTCAGTTTATAGAGAAAAAAAAGAAGAGCAATCGATTTATACAACTTTTTCCATCAGCTTAACTATCTCAAAGAATTATTAACAATTTATGATTCGCCATGGTTCAGTGATTTCTGAGAAAGAACAATTAAAATTATTTATTCTTTACTAAACTGCTTATTATTAGCTATAATACATTTCGCATTTTAATTTTAATAGAAATGGTCATTGTTATATTTAAACAAAATTGATAAGTATATCTTATTGTGATTGACTTACAAATATCTTATCTCTTTCGTAATTTTCTTTCACTTTTTGCAAATATTTCCTTCCTTTATTAATAATTATATATTTAAATAACGTATTAAAATTGCATTTGAATAAATGAGGAATCTGAAATGATTATAGATATTGAAACACGCATCTTCGTGAGTTAATATCGTATTGTTTGATGAATTTTGGATTTTAAATGATTGCAAATGATGCAAAAATAAAAAATGATAAGACTGTTAACAACAATACGAGTCATTTAATTTTCTTTATAAACAGTGTGAACTATATACTATTAATTTAATATACATATCTAAATATAATAATTTAAAATATTTAAATTGATCGTATTAAGCTACCGAAGAAGCAAAACTAGAGTATTCAAAGAAAGCTGTTCGACATTATTGTTGACATTATTACATTGAATCTCGCTGTCGCTGTATGCTACAACACGGACCATTATCATTAGTGATGATTTAATCACTTTAGTGACCTTGGATGATCTTGAACGTTTGATCCGATCGTGGCCATCGTGAGCCATCGACGGAGTTGGAAGACAATTTTAGGAGTGGTGTTGTTCGAAAGAGTAGTGCGACGTTCGGGTACGCAGGTCTGCAGGCCAGCTCTGGGGTGCCGGGCCCGGGCGGGGTGATGAGCTGCTCCGATGTGATGTATCAATATTATCCTTACCTGTACCAGACCCATCGGCCACCGCCGCCGCATCCGACCCATCCTCATGCGGCCCCGCATAGTCACCCTCACGCCAATCCGCATGCGGCCCACCATAGTCCAGCTAGGCCGGCGCCTTTCCAACCCTTTCCAGCGGCCACGACGACACATCAGTATGACAGGGTAAGTCGAACTTCTATTTTGATTTTAAAATAATGGTAGTATTAATCATCTTATTTGAAATTTTATTAATTCTTATGATTGCAAAGCAAAAAAACTCGATAGGATCCTTTAATAAAGGATTTGTCAATCAATAGTAAAATAAGAATAAAAAAAAATAATTCTAAAAATTTATAAAATTAATTCACGACTAGTCTATAATGTAGCAGTCCCTTATAGAAATTTAATACTGGCCAATTTAACTGGCTTTCTTGCTGAATTAATTTCTTATTTTAAATATTAAAAGTTGTTATTCAGTGCTTTTAATACTCTGGGTAAGGAATTAATACGTATATCTTTTAGTAATAAATTAGCTAGTATAAATGTAAGAGATAATATAAATATAAATTATTCCTTAAAGTGATAAAAAATTTCAGTGTACGAAGGTATCATAAGATAAATAAATAATGAGTTGATTATTCGGTTATGCTTGTTGATTGATTAATTATCCTAATCCTGCAATACAAAATTTATCACTAATAGATGAAATACAAAATTGTGCGAAGGCGTTAATAAAATGCTTTAGAACACTCAACATTTCAAGGGTCCATCCATGTATTTTTATAACCTCCATTCTGTGGTCGCCTGTCCCTTTAAATTGCCCAAAGCAATTAAAAACAGACCTACGTTAGTCACCAAGTTAGGCGCGTAATAAAAAAAAAACTATAGCCATTTATAACAAGTTTTATTTGTATTTTACATAGACTGTCTTCGCTTTTACGGCACTTGAACACTCTTTATTGCTATATAAATTAAGTCAAGAAGAAGATGATTTTATTGAACAGAATATATTTATTCTTTATTTAGCTTATTATCAGATAAATTGTATACAATCTTTACTAAAAATTTTTCTTCTTAAATTAATTAATTCTTTTGAAATTTAGTGAAGATTAGCTATTGAATTCTTGAATCTCTTTGGTCTTTAATCTTTGACTTAACTTCGTCTTTAAGCTTGCTAATGCTTGATTCTTGGATTGGAGTTGTCGAATAACAAATAGCTTCCTCGAATAGAATCATTCTATTCTTAATTTCTCAATTTTTTGTACGAATATCGCCTAGTGGTCTTTCCTAGAATTCAAGGAGTATCACCGACGAAACAATATTTCGTTCAGTTTTGCGCATCCTGAAATAGTTTCGAGACGGCAAGAAGGAAGGAGTTTTCGCAAGTAACGCGTGGAATCGCCTGTGCATCATTTTAATTTGTCTGCTGGGAGGTCAGGCGTGCTCCTGCCCTCGACGAGCATCCATCCGTGCACCCATCCGTGCACTGTGGGGTGTCGAGCGTTGTTTTGCCATCTTTCCCGGGCCGGTGGGAAAGTAGTGTTTCTTTTTTCCAGCACCAATCTCTCTTAGGTAATATTAAACTGCTTATAACTAGTGATGCGCACCGGGAATATTCTTGGAAGCATATTCTTGGAAAACGAAGATATTCTGAGAACGAGAATACTGTGAGAAAATTCTGAAAATATATTTCGCGATAATACCTTTTAGATATTATTTTAGAACCAATATATTTTTCGAAACTACTGAAAAGTAAGAAAAGCATGGTTCTGGGGAAATTTATTGTAGGATAAAATGTTCACGAAGTATGAATTATAATCGTTAAAAAAAAAGTTTGGAGATTAAAAACTCACGACTTAAAGATTTACAATTTTTTCGACTTTATTGCATCATTCGTACACCGATTATTTTAAAAACTATAAGAAATGATTAAAAAGTAAATTTAAGGATAATTGGGTAGTTACATTCTGGTATCTCATTTAATCTTAATATGTAAATGAGAGTCTTTAAAATTTATCGACTGAAACACGAGAAGAGGAAAGAAAAAAAAGAAGTATATCTTCTAGAAAGTAAAAGTTTCTCAGGACTTTGCAAAGTCAAAAATTTTTATATCATAGAATAAATATATATAAATTTTATTTTGGGACATTTTTGAGTATACAATTTTGGACATTAAAAGTTCAGGATTTTCTTTAATTAAAAACCCTAATGACAGAATTCTTTTCATTTTTGCATTCTATATATTCATGTAAATACATATTTTAACTACAAGTTCCTTTGAAATTTAATTCCTTTTAAATTTAACCAGAATTTATGCAATTAAACAAACTCGGCGATCTGTCTCTTTCCCTTTTCAAGATGTATAACAGTAAAGTATATATCAGTGGTCCATTTATCTATCAATCTTCCGGAGACATTGTAGAAATGTGAACGTCCCGACGTTCTCTTTTCTTTTCTCTTTTTCTCTTCCGTTCTCCGTGGTAGCGATCGCGAGATAACACTCGGCAAAAGCGTGAAGCGCGCGCGATACGAGCAAAGAGGAGCAAAGGAAGGAAAGCCGATCCCGACAGTCGGACAGGACAGGTTCTCCGCGAGGGGGTTCCCCCGAGGGAAGTAAGGGTTCCCGCGGATTCCCCAGCTCATATCCTCGTAGAGCCCGAGTAGTTCACGCGACCTCGGCGACACGATTTTACTTTTATTTAAATCTTTCTCCTTTCTTTTATTTAGGGCCCAAGGAACCGGGAGAAGCGTCGCTCATTTTGCTCCTTTGCCGCAGCCTTCGCTCTCTGTCCTCCGGTCTCTAAATTAATAGCCGCGCTAGTGTTTTTCGTAGTGTGTCGGCCGCTACGTTCTGTGCGTGTGTATGCGTGCGCGTATGAAAGCGCGTACCGACGTGACGCGCGTTAAAAATGCGCGTCGTTTTCTCACGAGACGCACCGAAACCGCCGTGCTTTATCGTTCTCCGCTCATTTAGCCGAGTAAGAGAACGCCCGTTCAAGTTTGTGGTATAAACCTCACTTGCGACGAATGATACACGAGACATCGCAAAAATTGCAATTCTTTCAAACCGCGAGTATTAAAAACCGGAGAACAATTTCCGGATTCTTACATATCATGAGATATAATGATATTTATTATTTGATACTCACAATCAGTATAGCTTTAGATTTATCATTAATTAGGATGAAAAAAAAAAATTCAATGATCACTATTCTTGATTCCTTTTTTTAAATAAATTTTATTCTTTGAAACAAAACAAAAACTTTTAGAAATAATCAGATAAAATTCGCTGACTAGTCTTATTTTGCACAATACGAAGGTTTATAAAAAATTAAATGATGAGAAATACGATTCATCGGAAAAACACGTGTGCCAAAGGAGGAATATGTGCTGATCTCAGAAGAAGCTCATAAGAACCTGGCTATCCTTCATTAGCACTCTTGTTACCTGACCAATGTTTCTTCTGCGTACAGCTAACGCACACATATGATGACTGCACTGTTATACGTGCAGTCTTGCACCATCACCACAAGTTATGTCACACAGATTGCATTCGGTCGCAATCGGTTCATGAAAATAGAGTTAACGAGAATTCAATATAGCATATTATTTGAAGAAGTTTAGGTAACGTTCTTATCTGACATTTTTGCGAAATTTGTACGAAATTTATAAAAAATTTCGGGTTTAGTCTCTCTCTCTTGAAGATTTTAGAATCGCGAAGGAATTTGATATCTGCGCGAGGAACTCGAGGAGACAAGGATTCAAGATATCTAGAATTCAAGGAATCTATAGATTACGAGCGATTAGAATTCAAAACGTCCAGAATCTGGAGCATTTAGATACAGGGTACCTCGAACTTGTGTAATTCGTAGTCGCATTCGTAGACTTCCGGAGCGAAACCGAAACAACATCGTCAAGTGTTGCGTTAATCGAATTCTACGTATAATTACCCAGTTCACTTGAGATCTCCTCAGTAACGATAATAAGCTATCAGTTAGCCTACCTCAGGAAATGGTAGAGAAACTCTGTGCGAGAAAGAGATCGAAAAAGAGAAAAATAGAGCGAGAAAGAAAGAGAGAGAGAGAGAGAGAGAGAGAGAGAGAGAGAGAGAGAGAGCAAAGGCGAGATAGAGTGAGAAAGGGAGAGTAGTCGTAAAAGCGCATTTTTCTCGGGTATCTGGCCGATTAATGAACCGATGTCGTCGCCAGGACCACCCCGAAGGATACGCGTACGGGACGTGCATCCCTCGCGAGATAGACCGACAGCAGTCCAGAACTATAATACCTAGCCTATAACCAGCTCCTGTCCGTCCTCCTAGCAGCAGGTCTCAAACGGACCGCGCCTTTACCTGACCAAGTTTTACGATCGTCGCGCCGAGGTGGCGATGTGTCCTCGTGTTATCGTCCTGGCGGGATCTGTCCTGGCTAAAGCAGGCTCCTGCCATGACTTCTTTTATTATATTTCTCTTTCTTCCCCTCTTCCCTCTTTTTCTTACATATCCTTTTCCACTGGCGTTGTGCTTCTTGCGATTAACGAATGAAAGACACTATTTTGCGATCTGCAATCAATGCATTCGTCAATCTGATCAGTATTTTAGAAAGTGGTATTCTAAAAACGAAAGATAGACGGTAATGATAAGAAATATCTATTTTTACTTATTTCTGCGTAAAGAAATGATTAGAATAATAAATGATTAGAAATGCATTGTATTATTTAATCTTTATAATTAGTACACACACGATGATTTTTTTGGTTCTTTATTTGGTTCTTTATTACATACGATTACATACAATCATTCGTATTCTGGATTAATTTTTATAAGCATAAAACTTTTATAAGCATAAAAAATTATTTGATGATTTTTATATATATATTTTAACGTCTTTAGAAAGTGTTTATAAAGTTGTATATTTAAAAAAAGGAAAAGATACTCTTTAAAATGTTTAGAGCGAAATATAACTCTAAAAAATGAAATCTCACTTTTAAAAATTAATAATTGAGTCATTCTTTTTAAACATGGAAACATGGCTGAATTGTCGCGTCACTCTTTTTTAGAATTAAATTCCAAAGATCTTAGAGAGCAGAGATTATTATTTAGCTAGATGTTTCTGATATTTAAAAAAATGTGTAAGACACGAATAATCCATGTGTTACTATAAAGGATTAAGAAGATCAAAATCAGT